CCTCGCATAAAGCTATGACGTATGGGTAGGCCTATTCGATAAAATTGATAAATCACGGGATGTGTTCCTTTTCATTCCATTTCAAATATCCTAATACGAATAACATACAAGGGAAGGCACTTAACCAGCTTTGTCTGTTCAATAACAAGGCTTATACAATCACACTTGAATGTTCTGTAATGTTACCAAATATAACCCTTTTACAATGCTTTTAATGTGGCCGAAAACTTTTCATACCAGCTGTACCTACATACATAGGTAACCACAATTTGGAGACATTTTCATCATCAATAGTGCCACAACAACAGGTAAACAACCTGAATGGCCTGTATATACAATATGTAGAATGCCAAATAAGCCTCACTAATTCAAAAAGTTTTTTCGAGATTTTTTTTAAATACTGATAATTCATCGAGTGATAATTCAGGACAATTTTTAAAAGTACCTCATGTTTTTTTTCTGTCTATCATATAAGATATTTATTTTTTTAATTGAAGATTTACATTCCGTTTTATAGGATGCGAACTATTCATGTATTGATGAGCAAATAACAGAAAAAAAGACTCCCTCCCCGTAATGATCAATAGATAGTTAATTCTCCTATTGAGGGAGATGTATTCAGTGATCAGGAAAACTGTGTAAATACCCACACGGCTATTTAATGACGTTATTGCTCAAGTGTTCGGCTAATTGCCTCTAGACACTTGTGGGAACAGGTGAACAGATTCAGTAACAAACACATACAAGCAACAAACGTACAAACAGCATACACACATACACACACAGTCATACATTCACTCCCTCGCTCACTCACTCACTCACTCACTCACTCACTCACTCACTCACTCATTCACTCACTCACTCATTCACTCACTCACTCACTCATTCACTCGCTCACTCACTCACACATACACTCAATCAGTCATATACACGCACACACACGTGAATGCATCTTTATTACACACTCAACCACATTACCCATACAGAAAATCTATATACGTACATACATATATACATACATTCAATATGCAACTACATTACAAGTGTATATGCATACATTACATACAAACAAACATACATATATATATATAGACATACATACGTACGTACATACGGACATACATGTATCTATATATACATTACATACATACAGACATGCATGCATGCATACATACACATACATATATACATACATGCATATATACATACATACATACATACAGTATATACTTATATATATACATGCATGCATACATACATCAATACATACACGCAGTATATACTTATATACATGCATACATACTTACAGTAAATACATATATATACTGCTACACACATACTTTTCTTACCGTTTCTTCCTTCAAAATACAAAATATCTAATTGAAATTCACATATATTTACATACCATTTTTGCCCTTCTATTTATAAACACATATCAATCTATTTCCTACGGACACCTATTTCCATAAAGAATATCTTCTCCATATGCAAACCTTTACAAGTTCATCTCCTCCAGTTCTTTCACAGCCCTTGGGGAAATGTATGTCATATAAAACATATTTACCCAAGTACTGCCAGAATAGTACTTGATAATAAGAGTCCCATAAATCATGAAAGCATTGTTTTTTTTTGTGTGTGTTTTTTTTTTAATTAATAACACCCCATGGAAAACTATATTCAAACTTGAATAGATAGAATAGTCCAGTATGTATATCATATGAGATTCCCGGAAACTACACTACGAGGCTTACAGACTATAAACCACGTTGCCTATCCTCTCTCTTATACTCCCTCTTCTCCCTCTCCTCTTCAGGCCTGAAGATGAAATCCAGGAGGGTTTCGAAACTGCTGTCTTATTTTCAATAAATTTAATTTGTGCGTTGTGTTTTTTTTCCCCTACCATTGATAATGCCTATTTCTTTTTGGAAGTTATGAGGAACCATAAAAAAGGCAAATTCCAATGGTTTATTTAGCTTGTACGTAAGTCCAGCTTTTCTTTTATCTTTGTTTATAAGGAACCATAAAAAGGCAAATTCCAATGGTTTATTTAGCTTGTACATAAGTCCGGCTTTTCCTTTATCTTGGTATATGGCCCCCCCCCCCCTTAGATAAGATATGTAATGCCTGCCACCTCTCGTCAACCAGCCGTATGAATATAAACATGTAAACCTTATATATGTTCATGGACACCTTGGTTCTTGTGGTTCTTATACCTTCTTCTAATTTTAAGAATAAATATTGTCAACCTGAGTGCTATCTTATCGATTGCATGTGACATCATCATAAATGTCATATGAAAGTATGTAAGGGGTATACTATGTATGTTTATACACACTGTCCTTATTCTTTGTAATTCATTATATCATTCTATATTTTATCAAGGCTGTCAACAATATAATTATCATTCACTATTGACTGTATTATTACTTTGTAATAGATGGTGAAGTCTTCAATCACCCGGGAAACCACCTTCGTACACTCCCTTGTACAACCACGAAATTAAACATGGTCGCCACCGTCAGGCTCTGATACGGCACAGAAAGAATAGGCTGTATCGGTGACGTCATTACTATTCTTTTTATATTTGCGATTATAACGTAGGGTCGGTTTTATACCTTGCCTAGATCGATGCCTTTCTATACTCTATCCTTGATTTTAATTCGGTTTTATTTTTTTTGTTTCTTTCGTTTGTTTGTTGTTACTTTTGTATGTCTTTTTAGGATTTTCTTTTAAATAAGATGGAAGAGATGTCGATTCCTGTAATATTTTATTTGTTCACACACACTCAAATATATGTATGTATATACATGTATATATATATATATATATATATATATATATATATATATATATATATATATATATATATATATATATATGTATATATACATAAATATATATATACATATATATATATATATATATATATATATATATATATATATATATATATATATATATATTATATTTATGTATATATGCATGTATATATATACATACATATATATATATATATATATATATATATATATATATATATATATATATATATGTGTGTGTGTGTGTGTGTGTGTGAGTGTGTGTGTGTGTGTGTGTGTGTGTGTGTGTGTGTGTGTGTGTGTGTGTGTGTGTGTGTGTGTGTGTGTGTGCGTGTGTGTGTGTGTACACATATACGTATTGTATAGTCAACATTAACGTGTATGTGGCTAATGGACAATGTGTTTGTTCCTACTAAATTGTCGATACACCCAACAACACTTGCAATAAACACCTCGCTACTTAGAACGACTATCCCAAGTGCGACGTTTAACCCTTTGATGCCACAAGCCATAAGTATACTGTATTGACAAAATCCGGATTGTGTTCGCTTACAAGAAAGTTATTGACAGTAAATTGCAACACAGAGCATGCGTCAACATAAACAGTAACAATAAACTAACAGCAACTGCGAACGTGGTCTTGACTTTGAAGAAAATTCGGACAAAGACAGATGAAATATGTGGATGATAGATGGATATTTAAAGGTTTGTGGGTACAGACAGACAGATCCATCAGAATGTGCGGATGATCTACGGCTGCTTTGAGGTTTGTGGGCGATAGATATATCAGTCTTAATGTGTGGCTGTAGATATTACAAGTGGTAGACGTTGATAATGGATGGGTACTTTTTGAGGTATGTGGATGATAGATGGGTGTTTAGAGACAGGTGGGTGATAAATAGATCCATCGGATTGTGTGGATGATATACAGATATTCATGGGGGTTGTTGGCGATAGACGGATTATCATGTGGATTTCATAAGGCGTGCGACCATATCACAGAGACCAAAGAGCTGTTCCACTGACATGCGTGTTCGTCAGTATTCATTAAATATTTAGGTGCCGAGCCAACTGCTCACACCCCACCACCTTCCCCTCCTTCCTATCCCCCCCCCCACTCCACCCTACACTATTCCTCTCCCCTCTTCCCCCCCTGCCTCTCCACCCCACTCTCTTCTTCTCCCCTCTTCCCCCCCTCAATCTCCAACCCACTTTCTTCTCCCCCTCCCCCCCTCCCTTTATTCTCCCTATCCTTCCAGGCACCTGTTACTCCTCCCCGCCCCCTCCCACCTCCTCCCTCCCACTACCCTCCTGTTCTCCCCTGTTCATTCTTCTTTTACGTTTTATTGCAATCAGTTTTAAGAATACACGCAGGTAAAAGGTATTGCGAGTAAGACCTGGAATAACTTACTATAAGCACACACTCACACAGATATATATATATATATATATATATATATATATATATATATATATATATATATATATGCGTGTGTGTGTGTGTGTGTGTGTGTGTGTGTGTGTGTGTGTGTGTGTGTGTGTGTGTGTGTGTGTGTGTGTGTGTGTGTGTGTGTGTGTGTGTGTGTGTGCGCGTGTGTGATTATATATATATATATATATATATATATATATATATATATATATATATATATAGAGAGAGAGAGAGAGAGAGAGAGAGAGAGAGAGAGATTGTTTACACACACCACTCACACATATATATGTATATATATACACATATATCCATATGTTCATATATACATGTACATATATATATATATATATATATGTATATGAATATATATGTATATATAGGACTATATGAATATGTATATATATATATATATATATATATATATATATATATATATATATATATATATATACATATATATATATATATATATATATATATATATATATATACATATATATATATATACATACACACACGCACGTATGTGTGTGTGTGTGTTTGTGTGTGTTCATGTATGTATGTGCATGTGTATATATATACGTATATATACGTACATATATGTTTGTGTGTGTACTTATGTATATATATATGTATTTATATATACACACACACACACATATATATATATATATATATATATATATATATATATATATATATATATATATATATATATATATATCACACACTCACACACATACACAGCA